TCTCTCTTTCTCTTACTCTCTCTCTCTCTCTCTCTCTCTCTCTCTCTCTCTCTCTTATCTCTGAGCGACATAAACATGCACCCTGGGAATTGCTGCCGAATCTCGATGATCTGCCTTATACGTGATTTTACTCTCTCTCTCTCTCTCTCTCTCTCTCTCTCTCTCTCTCTCTCTCTCTCGCGCGCGCGTTCTCCTCCCCCCTCTCTCTCTCTATCATTCTCTTTCTCACTCTCTCTCTCTCATCTTTGGACATATAGAGCATTCCACGGTCGCACCCTTAACAGCGTAGAATGTGCAGACACTGCCGCCTTTGCATGCCTAAATAGAGATAAAAATCGCAGATGTCATGTACAGCGTGTTACGAGACACTTCTCATCCGCACAGCGTCACTACATTAGCTCGCATGTACGATGCGACCGGAATTTCATTTTGGCTTTGATTACTTTCGCTACACACCTTCACAGATTCTCGGCGCCTTCTCTACGACATGCCTACCGTTTTAACTCTTCCACAATCTTCAACCACAGCACCATCTTAAGACCGATCTAGAGTTCCCTCATACAATCGGACCTTATATACAAAGAGGATACTATACCTATAGTCCATCTATCTATCTATACTGCATTATCTGAGTGTTTCCTATACTAAGTCCTTAGGTCGTTGAGATTCCCTGCCCCCTTGTGGGCGCAGCCACGTTTTAAGTGTGATACGATTTTACGATATATTAAAGAATGATGCAAAAACCCTAAAAAGTGCCCTAACCCTAACCCTAACCCTAACCTTAACCCTAACCCTAACCCTAACCCTGACCCTAATTAAATTTAAAATATATGTTAGTGCCTAGTGCCTAGTAAACATATCTTTTCACCCCTTTCAGCCGGCTGCGCGTTTCACTCATGCTAACTTCAGATCGGTTGGTAGATGTCGCCACCGTCGGCGTTACCCAGGCAACGAGGCAGCGTCTTTTTCGCGGTTCGACGCTCGTTTCAAGCGGATGCGGTTTTGTGAATATAGATGACAGTGACGCGGTGCATGTCCGTCTTCCTCCGTCTTCCTTATCACCGCTCTACCAGAGAGCTATGGCCTTCACCCTGAGAAGAGCTGCGTGCGTGCGTGCGTGCGTGCGTGCGCGCTGGTGTCTCTCGTAGAACACGCCTCGGCGGTGTGCGTGTGCGCGTGGTCGTTACCATGTCTTTAACGATTCTGCGTTGTCATGCCACCTCGTGAAAACACGTTATGAAATACATTATCGCGCTTTGCAATTCAAGAATACACGCACCTCTCCAACGACGACGCAATTGGTTTCTTCTACTTCTTCTACTTCTTCTTCTTCTTCTTCTTCTTCTTCTTCTTCTTCTTTTGTTAGCGTTCGTTCACAGTTTGAAGATTTTATTAGGTTTCCGACGCACGCGTGTGGTAATGACGAAAACCTTGACCGCGCGCGCGGGCAGACAGACAGACAGACAGACAGACAGATTTGCAAGCGATTTTCGAATTTCCGAAAAAAAAATCCGGAGAAAGAACAACGAGTCTGAACGCCGTATCTTACGGCCACATCTATAGTTATTTTAAAGGGAACGCGTGATGCATGCAGTCCGTATGCGAGTGCACACCATAATATCATAATATATTGCTAAAACCGAGATTAATTAAAATATTTTTGTTATTTATTTGTTTAATTTTTTTAAATAATTTAATTGTTCTTGCCTCTTTTCGAAGATATTTCGTCGAGTGCCGAACCGGAACCGGATGGTGTGATATCAGAAAAATACGTCCTAGCTCTGGGAGCCGGCGGTGGTGGCCTCGTCGTCGTCGGGCTGTGTATCGGCTGCGTCTGCTGCTGTCGTCGCCGCCGAAATAATCACGTCGTACGAAAGAATTCACGGGTGCGTAAAAACGCGTAAGGAACGCGTGGGTGCGTAAAGAAGGTCGGCAGACATGGGTCACGACGATGTTGACGACGACGACGACGACGACGACAGCGTTGAATACGACAGCGATGACGTCAGCGAAGGCAACTTTGACCACGACGGCGATGATGTCAACGACCGTGACAGCGACCGTGACGACGACTACGTTGATTACAACTGCGATGGCGACGGCGATGACGATAACGTCGACGATGACGACGACGATGACAGCGACCGTGACGAGAACGATGACGACTACCGCGACGACGACAGCGATGACGACGACGATTATAGGCGCACATCGTCGACTATGATGACCAGAACGATGACCATAGTGACGATCATAGTGATGGCGGTAAGGATGCCATTGCTCGTAATGACACAAGTGACGATGACGAAAATACTGTCGACAGTAACACAGATTCCCTGCTACAGACGATGATACCCATAATTCTAGTGATTGCCGTTACCAAGAATGTTATCTACTACCATAACTACTCAGCGGACGCATCCGAGATGAATGATAACAAACAGAGCTAATAATAAAACTAGGTATACTATTAGCTCTTGATGACAACCGCAACGATAATGTTTACAGCGAAAATAATGAAAATGTCGCTAATGATCACGATGACATTAGTGCGTTTACAATGTTTACAATTATGTTTGCAATTACTAAAGCCAAAACGTTTCATTATATAAAAGTTTTGATTAATGGTATAAGCAATGGCCTACTGCCGATAGATGAGAAAATGATTGAGTGTGCACGCAAGCAGCGCAAAATATCCCTCCCAAAACACAACACTCACACACAACACACACACACAGCACACACACACACACACACACCACACACACACACACAACACGACACACACACAACCGAACGCGCCCACGCACGCACGCCACAGCACGCACGCAACGCACGCACGGCGCGGCGCACCGCACGCACGCACGCACAACGCGCTCGGCCGCGCGCTCACGCACGACGCTCAATGATCAACACGTCCGACGCCCACCGCACACGAGGGCGCACACGCACACGCACACGCCACACGGCACACGCACACGCACACGCAAGCGCCGAGGCAGTCTCTGACACGCACAACGCATACGCCAGCACGCCACACGCACCAGCCGCATTCCAGTCACAAGTGAAAATAGCTTAAATGCCAGTTAATAATGAAAACGGCTGCGGTTATTGGTGAATTTACCATGAGATATTTATCTATGTCAAAAAACAGGCGCGCGTGCGTATGTGTGTGTGTGTGTGTGCGTGCGTGCGTGCGTGCGTGCGTGCGTGCGTGTGTGTGTGTTTTCATGTGTGTTCGTGCGAGTGCGTGCGCGCGCAAACGTGCGTGCGTGCGTGAGTGCGTGCGTGCGCGCGCGTGCGCGCGTGTGTGCGTGGGTGTGCGTGCGTGCGTTCGTAATCGCGCGTGTGTAGAATGTGTAGAATGCGTGTTAGAAATGTGGACCTACACGAAACACCGGCGCTAGCGACCACTCGTCTACTTCTTGTCTCTACGTTCAGTGTGTCTCTATGTTCAGTGTGCTTCTATATGTTTGACATTGGGAGACTGGAGCTGCTATCGCTTGGCTTGCACGCTAGCACGCCGCCTATGTTTGTCTAGACCACTCGTACAAATTCGCCTCGCTGTGTCATCGCCGAACTTCAGCAGGGGAGTGAAAGATAGAAAGAAAGAGAGAGCAAGAAAGAGGGGGAAGAGAAGGGGGTGAGGGAGCGCGCGTGAGTGAGAGAAAGTGTGTATTCGCGTGTGTATGTGAGTGAGAGAGAGAGAGAGCGCGCGAGATAAAGAAATATAGGAAGAGGGTAAGAGGGAGTGAAATACAGGAAGCATACGCGACGCGAAAAGAGAGAGGGATAAAGAGAACGAGAAAGAGAGAGAATAGGAGCGAGTGCGAGACAGTGAGACAGAGAGAGAGAGAGAGAGAGAGAGAGAGAGAGAGAGAGAGAGAGATAGGTGAGCGAAACAGAGAGCAGGAGAGTGAGAGAGAGAGAGAGCCAAAGAGAAAGAGAGAGAGAGACACACATACACAGAGAGACAGAGAGATAGAAAGAGAACGAGCGAGCGAGAGAGATAGAGAGGCAAAGAGAAAGAGAGAGAGAGACACACAAACACGTAGACAGAGAGATAGAGAGAGAACGGGCGAGCGAGCAAGAGAGACAGCGAGCGAACGAACGAGAGAGCCCGAGCGAGAGAGACAGAGAGCGAGAAACACACCGAGAGAGACAGAGAGACTCAGAGAAAGAGCCAGATAAATATATCGAGAGAGAGAACCAGCGAGCGAGTGAGCGAGCGTGAGAGAGAGTGCTCGATGGCGAGAGCGACATAGAGAGAGAGAGAGAGAGAGGGGGAGACAGCGAGCGAGTGAGCGAGCGTTAGAGAAAGAGAGAGAGAGAGAGAGAGAGAGAGAGAGAGAGAGACCGCGCGAGCGAGTGAGCGATCGTGAGAGAGAGCGCGATAGCGAGAGAGACACACCGAGAGCGAGAGACACACCGAGAGAGACAGAGAGACTCAGGGAAAGAGCCAGTTAAATATATCCAGAGAGAGAACCAGCGAGCGAATGAACGAGCGTGAGAGAGAGAGCTCGATGGCGAGAGCGACATAGAGAGAGAGAGAGAGAGAGAGAGAGAGAGAGAGAGAGAGAGAGAGAGAGAGAGAGAGAGAGCGCGCGCGAGTGAGTGAGCGAGCGTGACAGAGAGAGAGCGCGCGAGAGCGAGAGAGAGACACACACACAGAGAGAGAGAGATATCTACAGTCGACGTATATAACGCCCGCGATATTATAACGAGTGAATAATAGAGAATAATCTCTATTATTCACTCCTGATATTATGTCGTGAGATGTCGCGCGGCAGAGCATAACCCGCTCTTACGCCGTTTCCATTAAATACGTCTCGGACAAACCAGTCTTACGTACGATTGTACAGACCCTCGCGTATTAGACAGAGCTCGTCGAAGAGCTACGGACACGTATTAGCATCTCACACTATCTCTTCGTTCCTTGCTTTTTTCTCGAGCCACAAACCTAGATAATATCAGAAGAGCTGCGGACACATATCATCCCTTCTTTCCTTGTTTTTTTTTGTCGGGCCACAAACCTAGATAAAAAATCAGCATATCGTCGCACTGTTATATGCAGTCAGTTTGTATGACATGATCGTCATCGAAGACTTAAGGGTGATTATCGCTGATCTCTTTACACAAATATATAACCGGACACACTCTCCGCGCGTCAGTGAGGCGAAGGCTTGCGCAGCGGACGTGGGAAAATCATGCTTAAATCTCGTGAAATCTCGTCGCCGTGAAATCCGTGTAAGCTGGCCAGTTATTAATCAGCTCTTTCCGTGAGATTTTTTTCATCGCAGCGACGTTTCTTTACTTGTTACTGGCGGACGGACAATCTCGCGGATGAAGAACGCGATACGTTGCGTTTCAGCTTGCTCATTCAGCCGCCCACGCCTCGATTCACGAAACCCGCGAAAACTCGTGGGTGGTACGTGCTAAAAGCAAGCGCTCAATCGGCCGCAGTTACACGTGTGTAGGCTGAAGCCGCGGCAGTGCCAGCTCGACACGAGGTGTACAAATGTACAGGCTCAAGCCTCTACACGAAGACTTAGTCTTAGACTTGGTCAATTAGTCCGCAATGTGCTTCCCCCCTTTTTTAGTAGAGATAAGCTACATCCGCGGACGTGTCGTGCTCCGCGCATGCGCGCAAACGGGTGGCCACCCACCGCGCGGTGCTGCGGACGCCGTGTGTGGGGATCGCGCGAGCGGTCATAAGAAGGTTCGCGAGCCCGATGTTATTGTAGCGGGCCTATATGTTTTGAGAAGGAAAGATTTATATGAGCTCGTCATCGGGTGGTTTTGTGTATATAGTGCGCGCTGTTCGTCTCGGCAAAAGATTCGCTTCTATTCGAACTCCCGAATCGTTAGTAGTTATGAGGGGGGTTCGTCGTAAATTCTCGTTCAAAACGAAATCTGATTTCGAAATCCGAAATCCGAATCCGAAATTCGAACCCGTACCGATCCGGCTTCGAATGCGGCCCGTTTCTGCACGCAGTCCAGCTTCGAATCTCGGTATTATCTAAGCAGCTTGCTTACGAAGTTATCCGGTTGCTAAGCAACCAGTCTGCGTCCGAAAGCAGGTTTTTAATTAAATCCGAAAACAAAAATATCAACCCTATGCATTTACTTATTCCTGACCCTGATTAAAATTCGATCATCATGGCTATTTATTTAGTCACTGAACAGCGCAATTCGTAGAAGCTCTCCCAAAACGATATACGATGTTAGGCAGAGTAACTAAATATTGCGTTTTGCATTTCTCCGTTTTTTCCATGCAATGCTAATCAACCAAGTGACAGATGACATCAGAAACGCAGCCACCCCGTCGTTAGCATTTTTCCCCATTCGTCTTATTCTTGTCGTACCATATTGAACACGCATATTTCGGTGAGGACACAGACGACAAACAGACAGACACACACACATACACACACACTCTCTCTCTCTCTCTCTCTCTCTCTCTCTCTCTCGACCTCATGAAATCCTCCCTCTGTGTTTAGGCCTCCGATTCACTCCATAACTCATTTTTACCCGTTAAATATTCCTTCCCTCCTTCTGCGTGTCCCTCTCTTTCTGTGCTTGCCTGTATTTGTGTGTGTGTGTGTGTGTGTGTGTGTGTGTGTGTGGTGTGTGTGTGTTGTGGTGTGTGGTGTGGTGTGTTGCTGTGTATGTGGTGTGTGTGGATGTGTGTGTGGTGTGTGTGTGTGTGTGTGCTGGTGTGGTGTGTTGTGTGTGAGTTA